AAGGGAGTAAAAGAACGCCAATCATAGGAACCACTGCATAAGCCAATTGCTAGTGCTGCTCTTAACATTGCAAAGCTCAGTGGCCCACTGGTGTGGGTGTTTGACTCCAGATTGACAGGTCTGGGTTTAAGCCCTGGCCAGATCAATGTATGGTGTTTTGGAGAAAGACATACTCTCCAGCTAGGGGTCAAAAATAGATATAGCGAAACTAAGAAACTACAGAAACTATTGATGAAGTTCCCGGCGATGGGCTATCTTTCCACTCAATTGGACTATCACTACTTTTAATAACCTTACTCTTCAGAAAGTGGCAAAATATCTGGTGGTGATGGGTCATTAGGCTGACGAGAGTAACCTACGATTCAAGATACGATATCAGTAATCTATTAGTTACTTTCTTTAAGTATCTCTTTATAGTTTTCATAATGAAGAGATTAAACGTTCAGGTGTCATTCTTATCGTAACTGTTGTATTCAGCATGTACTTTACACTTTTCTAACGTTATCTTGATAGGTACTTGAGCAACAACAAGCTGAGAGACTTGCCCCAAGGAATCTTCAGTAATTATACCCAGCTGGAATTGCTGTAAGCCAAGACTATTTCCTATCCGTGTCAGACTCATTTATAAGGATTCTTGATAGGAATTTGAGTAATGGTGAACTAAAGGACTCCTTTCCCAGTAATTTGCAGTTATAATGTTGAGTCTTTCTAGCTCCCAAAAATCATGACTAGCTCCGGCCAACCTTTATTTGAACACCTCAAGTGTACTTGAACTCATTCCTTCAGTCACTGTGTCAGTGACACGGACTGACGTGTGACCTTGTGGCCTAATCGTCCGGATGGGTGTAGTCCTGCGAAGGACAATATTCTTTAATCAACCCTTAGGATAACCTCCGCCGGACTTATAGACACGTTGGAAATTGGCTCCGAACACAATTCTTCGCAGCACCACTCTCACCCGTACAATAATAACTACCCGATAAAATCTTCTTCATTTGGGGAACCTCCCCGCGAGAGATTACGAAATCCCCTCTCTGCTTTTTTAATGTTCATGGTATTTAATCAATACCCCCTCCCCCTTCTTCAGGCTCTTAATTTACATAGAGCTCCCAAATCTAAGAACTAAGGCACAGTCTCCAAAAATTAAAAAAAAACAGTCAACGTGAAAATGGAACATGCTCACTTACTGTTCTAGTTAAGCAAAAAATAGGTTATATTCATATAGAGAAGGATGGATTACATAGATTTGTTTGAGCATATCAAAGCATACAAGAAAGAACGGCATCACCGGATATACACTCTAATTTAACGTAATTATCAAATACATGGCAATGAACACCACCCTCTATCAATTCTTGGCAGGGAAATCAACAACAACCCGTTGAAGGAATTACCATCAGGCATATTCAGTAACAATACCAAGCTGTCCTTCTTGTAAGTTAGGACTCATCCTTCTTTTTGTAAAAGATGCCTAAAATCTATCGCGCACTGGGAAAGATACCAGCAGATCACGCTGACTTTTTTACAGTAAACATTCATAGTTCTGATCAGACAGAGGCACCGAAAATGAAAAGTGAAAACAGAGAGTAAATGAACCAATCAAATTGCTTACAAGAAAACTTTTGCTGTAGAGTGTACAACCTAGGTTGTCTTCAGTGACATGACTCAGCTGTGGCGGTCAAACAATGAGTGAAAAACATTTCTGAGCATACAAATTTACTGACATAACTTTATCTACAAAAACGATGTTGTTAACCCTACTTTGAATTTATTTTGGTATGTTCTTACG